ATGTAAAAAGAAAAAACAAAAATACATTTTTAATATTAATAATTTATTACTATGCGATAAGTCAAGATTATTTTTTGTGTAGTCTTCTGCCCCCTGTTATCAGGTGTATCTGATTGTGTTCAATAGGATTTTGAGCAAAGTTTTTACCATTAAATTATGCAAAAGGTGTCAGACGCAAAACATTTCAGAAACCGTATGAATCAAATATGATACATTTGGCATTACAGGGTTAAACTACTAACACACCACCAGGCCCACGTGTACAGTGGGGGAAATAAGTATTTGAGCCCTTGCTGATTTTGCAGGTTTGCCCACTTACAAAGAATGCTTATTTTTCCTCATCAAATGGTTATCAATTTTTATAAATTCATATGATGTGATTTTCTGGAATTTTCTTTGGGATTCTGTCTTTCACTGTTAGAATGTACATATGATTAAAGTTATAGATCGTTGCATTCTTTGTAAGTGGGCAAACCTGCAAAATCAGCAAGGGGTCAAATACTTATTTCCCCTACTGTATGTTTCTGTAGGAAGCGTGTGATTTTTCTGAGGTTCAGACTCAGGTTGGAGCTTTTATTGGTGGCTTTCCCGGCCACCAGATGGCGCTCTGGCTCCGTTAAGCTTCCCGGTTGGTCCTAAAGTGCCACTCCTTTTTTTTTTCTTTTTTCAGCTGCAGCATCCATCTCAGCCACATGTTCCTCTCACACAACCTCGTTTCTCCACATTTACACTCAGCTTTCTAACTCCCATCATCTCCATTTCACCACATTTCCCCTCTCCACTTCCCCCCTCCGGAGGTGGTGTGTGTGTGTGTGTGTGTGTGTGTGTGTGTATTTGTGTGTGTGTTTATAGTGGGATCGGACGGGTAAATGTGGGTCATGGTGGAGGGACACCTGTACGGTTTCTGGCTCTGCAACATGGATGCTGCTTTAAAGATGGCCACTATTCGCACAATGGAGTGTGTAGAGTGGGTGTGGTTTTTTTTTTGGGGGGGGGAGGGGCTAGTGGTCTGGGAGTGGAGGATGAAAAGGACACAAGGATGCTGGGTAATCATCAGAGTTACAGAAAATGGGAAATAAACCTCTGGGGTTCCTCTCATTTGAAAGAATTATTGTTTTTCCTCATCAGATGGTTATCATTTTTTTAAATAAATTCATATGATGTGATTTTCTGGAATTTTCTTTGGGATTCTGTCTTTCACTGTTAGAATTATACATATGATTAAAGTTATACAGTGGGAGAAATAAGTATTTGACCCCTTGCTGATTTTGCCGGTTTGCCCACTTACAAAGAATGCAACGATCTATAACTTTAATCATATGTACATTCTAACAGTGAAAGACAGAATCCCAAAGAAAATTCAAGAAATTCACATAACATGAATTCATAAAAATTGATAACCATCTGATGAGGAAAAATAAGCATTCTTTGTAAGTGGGCAAACCTGCAAAATCAGCAAGGGGTCAAATACTTATTTCCCCCACTGTAAACCTTTGGGGTTTCCTCTCATTTGAAGATGATCTTTTTTTGGTTCTGGTCACAGAATCATCCCGTTTTTTTGCTCCACATTGGTCCGTACAGGTTCCCAGTTGGTAATGTTTTTTACACATGTGGCCCCTAACTGGACCCCGAGAAACACAGACCCCGTATACATTACATTCCTCCTTTTCCCCGTTCCCACTCCTGAGTCAGCAGAAAAAAGGCTGTAGAGGAATTTCCTGTTTGAGCCGCTCCCCGCCTGCTTACATTACATTACCAAAGACGTGTTCAGAACATTTGAAAAGACAATGAAATGATCGGACTGTGGAGAGAAATAGTTCCCTCCCGAGGACGGCCCACTTCCACCCCCCCACCCCCCCCATCATAATCCATCCCTGACGGATCCCTTCCTGCTTTCTGCTTCTTTGACTTTCTCCGTCCTGGTCCAGAGATGCGAACACACACACACACACACACACACACACACACACACACACACACACACACAC